TTCCCTGAACAGCCTTAAGAAGCATTTTTGTTCCATGAGATAGTAAAGGAACTTGAAGCAATTTCCTCCCGCTGCTTCTATTGTAGTTTTTTGGTTGGGGTTTGGTTTTTTTTTGGGGGGAAAAGCAAAGTTATAAGGCACAAGCAGCCTTTAGGATGCCTCAGAAGCAGGAACAGAGGAGAGACAGGAGTGTCTGATAGGGAGGGGGTGGACTGGACAGGCCAGTCGAGCTGGGGTGACCCCAGCCCTGGGCCACTCGGTCCATCAGAGCGACCACGTGTGCAACCGAGACAGGAGGGTCAGAGCTGGGAAAGCGCACTCGCTGGCTGTAATTAGGAATTTAATTGTGAGGCGTTATCTCACCGAGTTGGAGCCTATACAGAGCCATACGTCCTCCATAGCCAACTGTATACAGGGGCGACGGTGGAGGGAGGAGTGCTGGGAACAGCCTCCCTCACAGATTTCCAGGCCTTTCTGCTGCTGTGTGGTCCCTTTCCCTTCTCCCAGGGAAAGGATGAATCCAGACAGTCAGATAAACCCCGGGGAGCTGGGCCCGGCGAGGCCCCGCAGCTTCGCACGCTCCTCCCGGCTGCGTGGGGCTGCTGGTCCCACACCGCCTCCGCCACTCGCTGTTTCATTTCTCGTTTGTTTTTTCACAGAGTGTATTTTAGTGGGGACAGAGATGGAAAGAAGAAGAGCAGAGATGTCTCAATCCTTCCTTCCTCCTCAAACAAACGGTGTCTCCTCAGCAGGACCGCAATGGTGGGACCATGTCCTTCAGCCTCCTTGCCCCGGGGAGACCATCAGCATCCCATCCCTCGGAGAACCGCCGGTGACACCCTGCCTGGCCCGTGAGGGCTGTCACTACCAATTCTGCATTTCTTGTAAAGCAGAGGGTGGTTTTGGCTGGCAGAGAGGACGCAGTTAACGAGGTTAAGCGAATTCCCCCTCCCACCCACCAAGGGCCTTCCGGGACCATCACAAACCTCAGCGCGGACAGCAAACACCTCGGCGTGGCCAGCAACCCTCGCGCAGCCGCTCGCTACAGGCAGACTCGCCCGCTCCTGGCTCAGCTGCTGGCTGCGGCTGATTGAGTAAATAAAGAACATTTCTCACGAAATGAACCTCTTGGAGGTCCCCAGGCGGAGAGCTGGCCTTTCCACGGCTGAGGAAACCTTTATCCCCCAAGTCTACAACACCCCCGTGCAGTTGATTTAGCAAGCGATGTTTGCACACCCAGGTTTGCAGTGCAGCGACTCTGTTCCCGGCAGCACCGTGACATTTGCAGGCGCCATTTCCAGCTGGCCCCACGTTGTCCTTTCTGGGACGTTTTCTGTGCTAGTCCAGATGGGGAGAAAGGTCAGAGTTACTGATGGTAAGGTCCAGACTGAAATCTGGATTTTCCCTAAGCCCAGGATGACTGTGCCTGGGCTAACTGTGCAAACTGGGGCTCCAGTCGGTGACCCTCGGTGGGTTACGCTGGGCTCTGCTCCTGGCCTTCGGGGCTATCATAGCTCCAGCATATGCACATCTTTCTTGGGGTCCTCTCCAACCTGTTTCTGACCCTGCCTGAATGCAGACCCTCCTCGTTGCTCATCGCTGCCCACCCAGAGCTGAACAGCCTCAGCCCTGACGCCTCCTCTGCAGCTAAGCTCCTGACCTTTATTTTCCCTTAAATCAATACATAAAAGCCACGCTACAGCAATACCAGCGTGTCAGGGGAGTCCAGGTGATTTATATCATCCGAGGAGCTGATTCTGCTTTTGAAGCTTCAATCCCCATAAGCTTTTGTCTTTCCAGCCCCCAATCTCTTCTGCACTGCCTTCAGCACATGTACATTGTATTCATCCCCTGGCCCCCGCTGCCTGGCATTATTGACTCTCCGTCTTGCTTTTAATCTGCTATAAAATGAAGGCAGCTCCAGGTAGAACAGCAGTTTTATTCTTCCTGGTCATAATATTTCCTTTACCAAAAAGAAGAAAAAAAAATATGTTTAAAGTGAGTTGAGGCAGTAAAGGCTTAATTAAAAAGCTTCAGGGGAAAGAAGTCTATTAGGAAAACTCTGCAGGCATTTGTGGAATTCTCACTGAGGAGAACCAAGCTGCTGGGAGCTCTGGTCCGTGTGCCTGGCCCTCCCTCGGCGGTGGGGAGGCGACCCTGGAGCCCCGGGATGGGAGAAGGTGCTGCTGGCGGGCGGGGGGG